AGCCATTTCCATTTAGACAACCTCGCCTCCACCTTCTCCAGCACCTTCTCCCAGTTCTGTTTCTGAAAACTTTCAGTACCCAAGTACAGGCCCAGTGTTTTAATACCTCCCGTTCCCCACCTCAGCCCTTCTGGTAGGGGCGGGACATTATTAAGGTCCCACCCCCCCACTACACATGCCTCACTCTTGTCCCAGTTAACCTTAGCTGAGGATGCATTCTCACATAAAAGTAAACTAGATCTGAGTTCTTGTACATCCTGCTGATCATGGATAAAAACATTCACATCATCTGCATACGCAGACACAACTAAGGGAGGACTAGAGACAGGTAAAGGTAGGTGTAGACCTTTCAGCCTGTTCCTCAGCCGACACAGCAGCGGTTCAATAGCTAAAATATACAGTTGTCCTGAGATGGGACAACCCTGTCTGATTCCTCTTAGAACAGGTATGGGTTGAGTCAGGCCCCCCGCTACCTTCACCATACAGCTGACATTCCTATACAACATCTTAATCCCTTCCAGAAAGGACCCCCCAAAACCAAAAGCCTGTAGCGTAGAGAATAGGAACTCATGATCAACCCTATCAAACGCCTTTTCCTGATCAATAGAAATGATACCTGCATTTACATCATAAAGGTTACAGACGTCATACACGTCTCTCATTAAAAATAAATTGTCCATTAGTGACTTTCCTGGTATACAGAAGGACTGATCGTCTGGGATTAGACCTCCGATGAATCCCCGAAGTCTATTAGATAGGAACTTAGAAAAAATCTTATAGTCTGAACACAACAAGGAAACTGGTCTCCAGTTTTTTAGTTGGGTTAAGTCCCCTTTCTTTGGCAGCAGGGACAGAACGCCCCGCCTACACGATGCAGGAAGTGATCCTGTCTGAAGCGAGTCTCTAAAAACATCCATCAGGTCCTGCCCCATACTGCTCCAGAAGAATTTGTAGAAGTCAGCAGGTAAACCGTCTATCCCCGGAGATTTACCTGCAGCCATCTGAGAGACTGCCGTTGTTAGCTCCTCCATGGTTATGTCTGCATTTAAAATTCCCTGGTCAGCTGTGGACAAGGATGGAAGCCCCAGCAACAGCACTCTGGCACAGCTCACATCACATGGGGCGGCTTTAAACAGGCTAGTGTAGAATCCTACTGCATGTTTCCTCATCTCCACTGGGTCTGTGGATAAATGTCCATCTGGCAGACGAAGGCCAACCATTTGTCTTTTCTGGTTTGAAGTCTTTTCCAGGTTAAAAAAGAAGGATGTTGGAGCATCCATATCCTGTATTGTGGTGAGACGAGCCCGGATCAATGCCCCTTTGGCCCTCTCTTGCAGGAAATGCCCAAGCTGCTGTCTTTTTTGGTCTAAGGTGTGCTGTTGTTGAATAGTAGAGAGAGTCTCTAGCGCCCTGATGTCCTTCTCTAGATCTGCCATAGTCTTTTTTATTTGGATTGTAGACCCCCGCGTGTAATGTTGACAGAAAACTCTAATTTGTGCCTTCCCTTGTTCCCACCATTCACTGATAGTCTTAAAATCATTCTTTTTGGACCGCCAAGCCTCCCAGAACAGCTTAAAATTGTTGCAAAAGGTAAAATCGTGTAATAACTTTACATTAAAGTGCCAGTAGGATTTTGTTGTCCCAACAAAATGAAGCATCAGTTCAGTTATAACCAAATATGGTCTGTGAAAATAGCTGGGACTATCTGACAGTCCATCACTCGAGAGAGAAAGGTACCAGAGACATAAAATCTGTCTAATCTAGCAGCACTAACTCTTCCACCTGACTTTTTGACCCATGTGTATTCTCTACTTGATGGATTCTTTAGTCTCCACACATCCAATAAGTCTGTTTTTGTTAGGATTTTTGACAAAAGGGTAGAAGATTGAAGATGTGGTTCCTCCCCAGATCTATCTAAAGTAAAATCTATACAACAGTTCCAGTCTCCGCCCAAAATGGTACATTCATCAGCATTAATGTTATTCAACTCCTCCCCAAGTATGCTAAACACCTCTCCCCTCTCTGATCCCTGGTTGGGTGCATAAACACTGATGAGGTTTATCATAAAACCTTCTAGTGTGGCTTTGACCCATAGGACCCTGCCCTGCACTACAGTTGTTACTGATATAATATTTATCATCAGTTTAGGGGAAATTAAAATAGCTACACCTGCACGTGTGTTTGTGCCATGATTTAGGAAACATTGACCTCTCCACCCCAGCCTCCAGTCTAATTCGTTTTTAGCATCACTGTGTGTTTCTTGCAGGAAAATAACATCCAACTTTTTATCTCTAAAGACTTCCTTAATCAAGGCTCTTTTCTGTGGATCCCTCCCCCCATTTATGTTCAAGGATGCAACTCTCATGCCTTTCATACACAAGGAAGATGAGAGAATAGCCCAGATCACCAGCAGAAAAAGAGGCACCCAGTGATTCCTATTCATGAGTCCTATTTTATAATCTTCCCTTTCTTCCCCACTTTAGTCCACCCTAAACTTTTTTTTAAGCTCAAAACATGTTTCTTTAAACGGTAACGTTTCTTTTCATCTAACCGATCCAGGCCCACCTCTTTCTGCAGTGTGGCGGCCGACCTGATAAACTTTACCACATCAGGAAAATATTGCTG